GCGTGGAGCGTTTAATAGAGTGAATGGAGACGAAAGGTAATTTGGACCTGACATCTGTTGGAGTGTGAGCAGGGTACTATTTAAGTAAGGGATTCAGGGAAACCGTTTATTTTCATATAGATCGGACTTGAGTCCAGAAATGGGAGTACAATTGCCTTCAATTAAAGGAGGGTTTGATATTGCAGTTATGGAGATGATATGTTGTTTACTCTATACGTAAATGCTTCTAAACAGTTATATTCTGAGCACCTCTGCAAAAGCCTGATAAAGTGTGAAGTGTGGGTGAAAGTGTTGAATGATGAAGCTAGTATTTTTCTTTTTTCAGATTTGCTTTTGTTTTTTTATTGGGCACCCTGCCACGTGGGAGACTGCCGACTGTTTGAGGAAAAAAAAAAAAAAAAAAAAAAAAAATATATAGATATATATATATAATAATAAATAATATAGATATCTAGGTTTTTTTCACCTATTTCTAAATAGCTCTTGTTTCTTCTATTCTTCTATTTCCATGGGGAAGTGGAAAAGAATCCTTTTCCTCCGTAAGCCATGCCGTGTCGTATGAGGCTACTAATGCCCAGGAGCAAAGGCCTTAGTTAACCCCCTCTCCTGTACACATTCACTAAAAAAGAGAAGAAAAACCTTTATAAGACAGAGGATGCTAGAATGTGCGTGGATAGTGCGGAGACAAGAAACAGATGATTGCTGAGTTATGATGAAAAGCAGTTGGTATTGACCTGGCCCTAACGAAACAAAGCGCAGGGGTAGGGGAGTTACGGTGGGTGAAATAAAATAGGATTAAATGTGGGAGTGATCAGCTAGAGTATAGAGCAAAGGAGGGGTAGCATAATGGTTGAAGGATCAAAATATGGAAGGAGAAAAGAGACATATGCAATGCGTAAATTCAAGAATTATTGGAATAAAGTAAAGTTGGATGCGAAAATGGGTCCTAATAAGCGTGTATGCACCTGGAGAAGAGGAAAGGAAGAGAGAGTGCATTGGGAGATAGTGAAAGTATCGTAACCTTTGAACCAAGTAGAGAGTAATTGTGTGTAGGGGACCTGAATTCCAAAGTAGGAGAAACTTTAGAGAGGGTGTGGTTGGCAATTATGGGGGTGCCAGTGTCAAGATAATGGAAGCCCTTTGATGACTTTGAATAGAAGGGTTTTAGTTATAGGTCAATACATATTTTAAGAAAAAGAGGATTATAAGAATACTAGATATGATGTAGGCGAAATGACAGGTATTTGTTGGAAATATGTATAAGAAGATAAAAGACATTAGTAGACTTCAGGATGTACATGTTTAAGAGGGGGCTCACAGATATATCAGATCACTTTCTAGACCGTAGCTACACGAGTAAAATGTAGTTTGGGATACAAGGAGAATAGAAGCATCAGGGAAGATAGAGAGGTGAAGGATATTATAAACTAAAAGGAGGAGGCAGTTAGGGTAAGATATAAACAGCTATTAGGAGGAAAGCTTGTCTAAAGAGAGCATAGCAAAGTGTTCCGAAGAGTATGGGGTAGGTATAAAAACGGTCCGTGTTAGTGTGTTCACAGAAGATTTGTGGTTTACAGGAAAGGGGTGCGGAGTGAAAGAGGCAGCGATTGTGGAATGAATGATGTAAAGAGTAGTAATGGAGAAAAAGTTAGCATATGCGAAGTTTAAACAAGAGAAGTGATGCAAGGAGGGAAAGTAATAGGAGACAAAAGAGAGGTAAAGAGAGTGTGTGAAGCAATGTAAAAAGAGCACATGAGAGAGTGGGTGAGAAGTTAACACAAATTTTGTTGAAAATAAGAAGTTTTGGAGTGAGATTAACACGTTAAGGAAGACTATAGAGAACAAATGGAATTGTCGTTAAAAAAAGAGAGGAGAGTTATTAAATGAGAGTTAGAGGAATTGGGAAATGAGGAGTAATTTTCAGGAATTTGTTAAATGTTTGTAAGATATAAAGCAGTGATTTTGATGTAATCGGGCAAGGAGGAAAAACCTCTTGTAGAAGTGAGGCAGAGCCAGATTGGTGGCAAAAAGAAAGGGGGTAAGGCAGCCTGGATTGAGGGATAAAAAAGATAACATGTAAAAGCAGGTGAGGGATCTAGTTTTTGGAGTGGTATTGGTGCACTATATATACATGTAAGGAATTAGTAAGGTTACCAGTGGAATTGGCAGAGAGCATGCATAGTTTTTATTTAATCCTTTGAAATAAAGGCAAGGGGACCAAAAAGTGCAAAAATTATAGGGGGAAAAGTGTGTAGAGTAAACCTGGTACAGTGAATGGTAGAGTTCTAATTGAAAGAATTAAGACTAAGACGGAAATAGGACTAGCAGATGAACAAGGAGGCTTTAGGAAAGGTAGGGGGTGTGTGGACCACGTGTTTAACAGTAGAAACATACAAGTGAACAGTAAATTAGATAAGGCTAAAGAGGTCTTTGTGGCATTTAGTGATTTGGAAAAGCATATGACAGGGTGGATAGGGGTGTAATGTGTTAGATGTTGCAGGTGTAAAGGTGTAGGAGGAAGGATACTAAAATCAGTGAAGAAGTTTTATTAATGAGATAGTGATGCTCAAGTTAGAGAAGTAGGAAAGAGGAAATATTTCCCATTAAAAGTAGGCCTAGACAGATAGTGTGAGTCCACCTTGGATGTATTAAATATATTTATAGATTTGGGTTGTTAGAGAAGTACATGTGAGGTTCATGGAAAGTTAACAAGAAGAAGAGTCACAAAGTGGATTGTCACGTCGCTCTTTGCTGATGACACTGCTCATAGGGAGATTCTGAAGAGAAGTTCTATGATATGTGGATTAATTTGGTAAGGGTGTGCAAAAGAAAATATACAAGTGAAATACAGGAAAGAGTAAAGGTTATAGAGGAAACAAAAGGTAAGGTGATGAAAGATTGGATATCAGATTGGACGGAGAGAGTAGGAGGATGTGAATGTATTCAGATATTTGGGAGAGGACGAGTTAATCGGATGGTCTATGAAAGATTGAGGTGACTCAAAGAAATTGAATGAGGGTAAAAGGGTGAGTGGTGCACTTAGAGTGAGGAGACGAAAAACTTGTCCTCGAGCAAAGAGGGAATGTTATGAGAGTATAGTTTTATACCAACGCTCCTTATAATGGGTGTGAATCATGGGTGATGAATGTTGCAGCAAGGAGAAGGCTGGAGGCAGTGGAGATGTCACATCTGAGGGCAATGTGTGGTGTGAATATAATGCAGAAAATTCGTAGTTTGGAAGTTAGGAGGAGGTGCGGGATTACCAAAACTGTTGTCCAGAGGGCTGAGGAAGGGTTGATAAGGTGGTTCAGACATGTAGAGAGAATGGAGCGAAACAGAACAACTTCAAGAGTGTATCAGTCTGTAGTGGAGGGAAGGCGGGGTAGAGGTCGGCCTAGGAAAGGTTGGAGGGAGGGGGTAAAGGAGGTTTTGTGTGCGAGGGGCTTGGACTTCCAGCAGGCATGCGTGAGCGTGTTTGATAGGAGTGAATGGAGACAAATGGTTTTTAATACTTGACGTACTGTTGGAGTGCGAGTAAAGTAACATTAATGAAGGGGTTCAGGGAAACCGGCAGGCCGGACTTGAGTCCTGGAGATGGGAAGTACAGTGCCTGCACTCTGAAGGAAGGGTGTTAATGTTGCAGTTTAAAAACTATAGTGTAAAGCACCCCTCTGGCAAGACAGTGATGGAGTGAATGATGAAAGTTTTTCTTTTTCAGGCCACCCTGCCTTGGTGGGAATCGGCCAGTGTGATAAAAAAAAAATTAAATAAATTATTAAAACAATAGGTATAGTGAACCCTCTAATTAATAGGGGAATGGGGTGTCTGGTTGTCTTCTAAATCAGCAGACCCAGTCTGCCAATTCAGAAAACCAAACACTATGAATACATATATTATAGCCTGTAGCACCACAGCACTGTAGAGTAATCTTATAGCCACATGTAATTTACAGTAATTTTACTTACTTTTTGTTTTTTTGTAGTGGAGAAATGATGTGTAAACTTCAATGATCAATAGTAGTGACTGAATAAAGTATTCAGAGTTTAGCTAGCATCTACACTAAACTTGAGGAGATAAGACTCTTAACATCCTATTATTCACATACCCATGCCCCAGAAATACCAGGCTCAACCTTCCTAGTTGAACTAAGTTCCTGCTTAACACTGAAAACCACATTTCCTCTTAGAACCACCACTTGCTTCAGAAGCCACTGTTAATCACACACAGCACTAAATCCATGGAAAGTTGGAAACTGAATAATAAGTACGCAAGTGAGCACAGAAACTGGCATGGGCAGCCTATGGCTCAGAGAATAACTGACAGGTCTTAGATGTGGAAGCTCTGACCCATACTGGACAAGCATCAGTCATGAAACATGGTCAGATAATTCTAAACCGGACAAAATTCAGAATTATGGACTTTTTCCATTGTCAGATTTTTCAAATTTGTCCAGCAAATTTTTTTTGCCTGTAAATTCACTAAATGGAAGTCTGTTATAGATTTTACTATAACTGTTCTTTTAATGCTTCTGAGAAAAACAGAACCAAATGGAAAAAGATTCTGATGTGTGAATTCTTATGCCTATTTTGAACAAAACTATAGTTCTCTGAATTTGAGGCTCATGTGGCAATCAAAAGTAAATGGAGACCCTACCAGATGAAGTGCAATATGACTGAATTCTGCATTTTATTTTTATTTTTGTGCAGGTAAACCATTTAAGATTAGAAATAGGAATTAGATATGGACTATTATAGCCGTTTTGCATCTGGTTTTAACAAGCTCTATAGGTAAAAAAAATTAATTGATTTATTTAACCTCCCCCCCCATAAGCCATTCTTCCCATCCTTAAGTTAAGCAGTGGCTGAATGCATAATTCTTACATTCTGCTATCCATTAAAAATGCCAAACATCTAATGAAAGTATACTTTTTAAAAAATGGCTAATATTTTAAATCAAAATAGCAAAAGCATTATTTTAAATTCTAAATTGAAGAAACTTACTTTATAGGGCCTCTGTTGGTGTGGAACACGAGAGGGTGAACCTCCACTCCAAGTGTGGCAACATACTTCTTTTCAAATTCTCCAGTCAAATGCCTCTTCACAAATGTGGTTTTACCAGTACCACCATCTCCTACCAACACCAACTTAAAAGTAGGCATTTCCTGTTCCGCTGCCATTCTACTGGATGTGTGAGCCGCAAGGTCTGCAAAAACAATGATTTATTAGTACTTTTCATTTGCTGCTTTTTGCATTCTTATGAAATATTAAATAAAGGAAAAATCATTAAACATAAAAATACAAAATTTAGGAACAGATCACAGCACAGTCGTATTTTGCAAGTACAGCCTCTCCTCACTTAACGATGGAGTTTTGTTCCCAAGACCACATCGGTAAAGGAACTTGTCGCTAAGCAAGGGGCATACTATAATGGTAGTGGGTTTGTGTCAAAAACTTTGATACTGTTTTCATGTCACCTTTGCACTATTTAGAACATTTTTAGTATATTTTAAAATGTTTATACAGTAGTTTATTATACTGTGGAACTTAGACTTACGAGTTTAATCCATTACATGACCTAGCTCGTAACTCAATTTGCTTGTATATCAAATCAATTTTCCTAGTTTAACTGAAATTCCATTAATCTGTTCCAGGGGAATTCCTGCTCTCGGGAGGCAGGGCAAAATACTTCAATATACTAATATCAACTCTACGGCTTATTTATCTATCACAATTCATCTAAAATGACATGCCTCGCGAACAACCTGCACACCTTGCGTGTATCTATGATTTCATGCTGTAATTCCATGGACATCATCATTCTTCTCAGCACTGTCCTTTGCACTTACTTCCTTAGGAGCCATGGTTAGAAAAAAGAAATTTGGCAACAATAACACGAGAAATGCTTCCATGGCGACAAACATGTGCACAGCTCAGCTGATGATGTGGCGTTTGCTGCGCCAACTAGTGGTGGTGGTCTGAAGTTCACTCGTTACAGTGGTACCCCGAGTTTCAGCCATAATTCATTCCAGAAGGCTATTTGAGTGCTGTTACCAAACGAATTTGTTCCGATGAGGAATAATGTAAATTAGATTAGTCCATTTCAGACCCCCAAAAACACACTTACTAAAGCACCTACAATAATACACTTACATAATTGTTCGAGTTGGGAGCTGTATTATTATTATTAATTTAGGGAACTGGAGCACACATTCAATTCCCTAGATCAAGAGCCCCTCACCAGCATCAAGGTTTCTTGATGCTGCAAATGACAGTGCTGAGAAGAAAAAGAGGATGATGTCCATGGAATTAAAGCATGAAATCGTAGATAAACAAGAGGTGTGGGGGGTTGAAGGAGAAGCAGTTGTTGGCTCATAACTCAGAGCAAAAAAATTGACCGAGCAACGGCTTGTATCTCGAAAAACTCGTATGTTGGGATACTCTTAGGTCGAGGTTCCACTGTATATTGTAATAAACAGAAGAGGAAATCAGCTCTGATACACATTATTTAGGTATGCATACTGGTCAGAACCCATTGGAAATCAGAGCTGTCAGTAAATGAGTACGTCACTAAGTGAGGAGAGGCCGTATAGTACAAGTTAAATAGACGCCCTTATTAAACACAAGGGCCCAACACTGATTTACAACAATTTACACCCCATAATCAATTGCTAGCACACAATTACCCTTTCAAACAGTGAGACTACTCATAGCTGTGGAAATATCACTTCAAGTGAACAAAAGTATCAAAAAACAATATAAATACAGTGGACCCCCGGTTAACGATATTTTTTCACTCCAGAAGCATGTTCAGGTGCCAGTACTGACCAAATTTGTTCCCATAAGGAATATTGTGAAGTAGATTAGTCCATTTCAGACCCCCAAACATACACGTACAAACGCACTTACATAAATACACTTACATAATTGGTCGCATTCGGAGGTGATCGTTATGCGGGGGTCCACTGTATTGCACTGTATCTTGTATTTCATCTACTTTGATCAATATTTACATAAATTAAACATCAATAGTATATACAACTGAAAAAGAAACATTAATTTAAAATATTGGGTAAACATTCTTAGGTGAAAAATGTGGTGTTGAGAGGGTTCCGTGGAGATATGATGGTTGGAGATACGATGGTTGGAGATACGACGGTTGGAGATACGACGGTTGGAGATACACACTTGCTGGGTTGTAACACTTATATTTGCAGTGTAAGAGGAGCCCAGCCTGCCTTGTTGCCTGTGTAGGTCTATCCATGGAGAGAGGGACAACACATCTGATGCTCACATGTGGCATCACGTGACGTCACGCATGCTAGCCGCTAAGTCTAGCAAGAGGTCGTCTATATAAAACACGTGGATGGTACTAACTATGATACTCAGATAAGCTATACAACATATGTAGGGGATCAGCAACTATGCTGACAGAGGCATCCAATTAAAATGGTGATCCTATTGTACTGCTGTACAAGAAAGCTATACATGTATTCTGTAAAAAAGGTCACACAGCACCTGGGAATGGAAGGCAATTAGGTTTAATCCAAGAGGAAAAATGAAAGTCCTTCAATCAAGAACCCCCCTTCCCCCTCTCAACAAGGAGGCTCCTGTAAGGGATATAATTAAACCTTGTACAAGATTACCAATTAAGATAATTTATTACAGTTTATCCATTTTATGAGGTTCAACCCTTAAAAAAAAAAGCAAGCAAGCAAGCAAACACAATGTTCACCCTCTCATACATAGATCTATATCACTGTTGCCAAGGTTACTTGTGTAGACCTAAACTGATGACCACAGCTCCCTCAAGTGAGCTGCAAATAAAAATTTTGGCCTAGAGAGAATGGGTCTGTGCACTAAGTGTGCACAGCATAAAAATATTCCTGTCTTACTAGGGAAAGGGAACAACTTTCTAGTACCCACAGTAGATGGTCAGGCTTCAAGCACCTTTTACTGTACAGCAGTCAAGGAATGTAATGGACTGCCTGCAGAAAAAGCCTGTCGTAGCATGAGCCAGTTCAGGATCTAAAAGGTACCTAATGAATGAAGATACATAAAGGAGAGAGTTCTTGTATAGCTAACATACATGTACCTATTACTGTGATCTGATCTTCTCTTTAATGTTAATGTAAATAACTCAGTTTACATTAGTCCTTAGTAGAGTGGACCCCCGCATACTGTTGGCATCACATAACGTTAAATCCGCATACCACTACATTTTATCGCCAAGATTTTGCCTTGCATACCGCTAAAAAACCCGCTCAACGCTGTTCGTCCGAGACGCGTCTAATGTGTGCCCTTAGCCACCCTCACATGCTCCGCCGGTGGCATTGTTTACCAGCCAGCCTACGCGGTAACATCCAAGCATACAATCGGAACATTTCGTATTATTACAGTGTTTCTGGTGATTTTATCTGCAAAATAAGTGACCATGGGCCCCAAGAAAGCTTCTAGTGCCAACCCTACAGGAATAAGGGTGAGAATTACTATAGAGATGAAGAAAGAGATCATTGATAAGTATGAAAGTGGAGTGCGTGTCTCCGAGCTGGCCAGGTTGTATAGTAAATCCCAATCAACCATCGCTACTATTGTGGGAAACAAAAAGGCAATCAAGGAAGCTGTTCTTGCCAAAGGTTCAACTGTGTTTTCAAAACAGAGATCGCAAGTGATGGAAGATGTTGAGAGAGACTTATTGGTGTGGATAAATGAAAAACAGATAGCAGGAGATAGCATCTCTCAAGTGATCATAAGTGAAAAGGCTAGGAAGTTGCATGAGGATTTAATTAAAAAAATGCCTGCAACTAGTGATGATGTGAGTGAATTTAAGGCCAGCAAAGGTTGATTTGAGAGATTTAAGAGGCGTAGTGGCACACATAGTGTGATAAGGCATGGTGAGGCTGCCAGTTCGGACCACAAAGCAGCTGAAAAATATGTGCAGGAATTCAAGGAGTACATAGACAGTGAAGGACTGAAACCTGAACAAGTGTTTAATTGTGATGAAACAGGCCTGTTTTGGAAGAAAATGCCAAGCAGGACCTACATTACTCAGGAGGAAAAGGCACTCCCAGGACATAAGCCTATGAAAGACAGGCTTACTCTGTTGATGTGTTCCAATGCTACTGGCGATTGCAAAGTGAAGCCTTTATTAGTGTATCACTCTGAAACTCCCAGACCGTTCAGGCAAAAGAATGTCCTCAAGGAAAATTTGTGTGCTGTGGAGGGCAAACAGTAAGGCATGGGTCACTAGGGACTTTTTCTATGACTGGTTACACCATGCATTTGCCCCCAATGTGAAAGATTACCTAACTGAAAAGAAATTAGAACTTAAGTGCCTCCTGGTGTTAGACAATGCCCCTGGTCATCCTACAGACGTGGCAAGCGACTTTATGGGGACATAAAATTCATCAAGGTGAAGTTTTTGCCTCCTAATACCATTCCTCTCCTGCAGCCCATGGACCAGCAGGTTATTGCAAACTTCAAAAAACTGTACACAAAAGCTCTGTTTGAAAGGTGCTTTGTAGTGACCTCAGAAACTCAATTGACTAAGAGAGTTTTGGAGAGATCATTTTAATATCCTCAATTGTGTAAACCTTATAGGTAAGGCTTGGGAGGGAGTGACTAAGAGGACCTTGAACTCTGCTTGGAAGAAACTGTGGCCAGAATGTGTAGACCAAAGGGATTTTGAAGGGTTTCAGGCTAACCCTGAGAATCCTATGCCAGTTGAGGAATCCATTATGGCATTGGGAAAGTCCTTCGGGTTGGAGGTTAGTGGGGATGATGTGGAAGAGTTGGTGGAGGAGGACAATGAACTAACCACTGATGAGCTGATAGATCAACTTCAACAGCAAGAGGCCAGACCTGAGGAAACTGGTTCGAAGGAGGGGAGAGAGAAATTGAAGAAATTGCCTACTACAAAGATTAAGGAAATCTGTGCAAAGTGGCTTGAAGTGCAAACCTTCATGGATGAAAATCACCCTCACACAGCTACTGCAAGCCGTGCTGGTGACTATTACACCGACAATGTTGTGAAACACTTTAGGGAAGTCATAAAGGAACGAGAGGTACTGGCCACTATGGACAGATTTGTGCGACAGAACTCCAGTGACTCTGAAGCTGGTCCTAGTGGCATTAAAAGAAGAAGGGAAGTAACCCCAGAAAAGGACTTGACACCTCAAGTCTTAATGGAAGGGGATTCCCCTTCTA